CTCCCCCCCTTTCTTTTCAATCCTGCGGGCCGTGCGGTGGCGGCCGCTCCCCCGGGCACGCCGGGCTCCTCGGTGCGGTTTGTTCACGGTCCCTCTCCCCGTGTATCCTCCTCACTTGTTGTGGGAAACTGTTCTTTGCTTCCCCCCGTGAGTCTGAACTGAGGGTTTTACTGGGCAGCCCCCCCAGTACCGGCCTGTGACACTTGTGTTGTGAGACAACACAGAGCAGCGCTGCAAACCCGGCTCGAAATGTTCGATATGTAGAATTCCCGTGTCTGGGAGACACTCAAACCCTTCACCAGCCATTAACTGTTTCCACCGCCGTGTCCCAGCCCGGGTTTCCAGCCTGGGCTGCTGAGCTGGAAGTACCAACAGCCCGGGGGCTGAGCCCGCGGTCCCTGCCAAGAAGGGGCTGTTTGTGCCGTTTTGCCCTGCGGATTAGCGGTGGGTGCCAATTCACTTGATTTTGCTTCACACTTGTTGACTTTGGAATAGAAAAAACCTGAAACACAGCTTTTTCAACGCTTGGGGTGTTGATCAGGAAATGGATTCATGTGCTTAATAAATAGTCCTGTTTAAGTCAGTTAACTAACCACGACCACTAAGGTTCTTAGGACCCCGTCAGTCCCTCCCTGCCGCTCCCGGGGTTAGAACAGTTTGAAAGAGCCTGAAGATCTGTTTGCATTTACTGCTTGTGAAATGCTCTTTTGCTTGTAACTTGCTACCAACGGATTGGTTGAATTGTGGGGGGGAGGGCTGCATACACACCAAAAATCATTGAAATACTTGAATGTGAAACATTTCAGTTTGAAGAAAAAATATACATAAGAAGATGTGGTAGGATGGAGATGCTACTGCAGAGTCTCAAGTCTGGAAGGCTCTTTGAACTGCTGCTACTTGTTGTTTGGTGTAGGAAACGTTGTAAAATTAATGATCAAAGTCAGTGTACAAATCATGACCTCACAAGGTCTCATAGGAATAGATTCTTCCAAAGGTTAGTATCTTTCAGTGCTGCTTAACCTTATAAACCACATTCTTGATGGTTTGTCACTGACTGACACTTTCAGCCTGTATTTCCACTTGGACAGATGTGGTAAAATACATGGGTCAGGGCCATAAAAAAATGTCTGATCTGTTTGCTGAAAATAAGTGAACTGCTACTTTGTGGCATTCTATAAAGGTGTCATAAGACATCTATTTATTTGACATATATGGAAAAAAGAAATATGGAGGACTTGTATTTCAAGATGCTGTCATTTCTAAAATAGTTCCCCTGGATTTTTAAGCAATTTTGATTTTTAGAATTTGTAGAGAGGCAAGGAGGAGGGAAGATAAAAAGGGGGAAGATATTGCAACTATCAGTTTTCCAGGCCTTTCTGTTCTTAAGCATAGATGACTATATCTAAAGACAGTGATACCAGATGTATAATGAAAGCACCTTTTAATAGTATGTCAGGAATTGTTTCACAAAGAATATAATTCACTTAATGTCCTTAGTAGCTACCAGTCTTCCTAGAAAAGGTAATATCTACTCTTTGTAACTTCATGGAAATCAGAAAGTTACAAGTAAGCAATATACCAGCCAAAATGTCCTGCAGTATCACTTGCAACATTTCTTGCCTTTAAGAAAACCAGCATTTCACTGATGTGTCCACAGTCATCAGCTTTGTAGTATGAAGGAGTTGTCCCAACACAAATATTTACAAGCTTTGGATGTAGTTTTACCTCTCCATTTGAGGGGAGCCCTGGTTGTGAATTCGATACTTACAAAGGTTGTCAGTTTCCTGAGTCTGAATGAAATGTGTTCTGCAAGTTAGTCAATAACCCAGCAGGTTGTTGAAAGACCTGTTGCCAATACTATGGTTTCTAGATTTAATTTTCTTTATAATAATAAAGTTTCAAATTAACTAATGTTTCTGGCAATGACATGGGATACATCTCTAAGAGCTGACTTCTTTTCCCCATTTTTACTTTATTTATACAGCTTTAATACTTATTTGTTGCTGATTAAAATAATTATGGGTAAAAATCAACAGGTTTCATCCCATTTTCCTGAATGATTATATATATTTTAAAATAAAATACTGCACTAATCCACTATACATGTATATTCTTTCTGAACTCGTGCATATTGCCACAGAAGTTCTAGTTCATTCCCAACCATATCTCTTTATAATGTTTTTAAAAGCTTTTTGTAACTTTCTGGGTGTGAGAGCTAAGCTGTTCTTCACGAAATGCCATGTTTATATATTCCTGGTTAGCATATTGTTTTGATCTGTTAAGAAAATGGTTTCAGGCTCCAAAAAGATCCAGTAATTAAATATAATTCTTGAAGTGGTCTTTTTCTGGGTGTGAGAGCTAAACTGTTCTTCATGAAATGCCATGTTTATATTTTCCTGGTTAGCGTATTATTTTGGTCTGTTAAGAAAATGATCTTTTTGGAGCCTGAAACCCAGTAATTAAATATAATTCTTGAAGTGGTCTGTGAATGAACTGAAGCAATAGAAGTCTATCAAATAAATGTGAGAGACAGTCTTGTGGCAGGATTTCTCTGTGAGCTGACAAGCATTTTCAGGTTTCCCAGTGAAGTTGCAAGTTCTCTCTCTTCAAGGGTTCTAACTCTCTTTGGAGATTGACAACTGCCTTTTATCCTCAGGGTCCCCTCCCTTCCTGCTGCCCTCAGGTGAGACTCTGAGCAGGATGTGGGAGGTTTCCAGTCTCAGCCCCTTCACTTTCTCCAACTGTAGACACATCTTACTTTATGTTGACTTTAGCAGCCCTCAGATAAACCAAAGTTCTTGGTTTGAGTCTTAGACTGATAATCCCAAAGAAGAATGCCTAATGTGAAAGAAGATCATTTGTCTCAGAAGTCTCTGCCAAATATCTCTAGATGGAGTGGTTTCTATTGCAGCTGTTCCATGTTTCTCTTTTTCTATATTAAATGTTAATCTCCTCTTTAACAGAATCTAATGTTTTCCAGTGGGCATTCAAGAACAAAGAATAATTTAAAAAATATGCATTAAAGATGATTTTCAAGTATTTTAAAAGCATGAGCAGCCTTCCTTGTCAAAATAAGAGCTCTCATAAAATTACTAGTTTTACTTGGAATACAAGGAAAGGCAACCCTGAGTACCTGATGCATGAAGAGAGTATTTTCCAAAACAGTCAATATTAATAAATTTTTTAATTTATTTTTTAAATCTCAGTTCCTTTGTGGTCACACTGTGATGCAGTTGATCTACATTCTCATGAAAAGTATTTCATGTCTATTAGTATGTTTGGAATTACATTATAGGATTTTTTTCATGCCAAATCCCATATAAAGTTTTTTGTTGTTTGTTTGTTGGTTGTTTTTCAGTGTAGCCTTTAAGTGTCTTCACAGGTTGAGACACTGAAATTGATTTTTGCCTGTGAAAGCTGGAGAATGTTCAAAAATCAGTATCAGGTAAAACAAACAGTCTTATTTTTTAACCTCTTTAAATTGATGGTATGACATATTTTACTTTTTATCCATTATAAATTTCAGAAGTATTTTATGAGTGTGGTTTATGGAATGTCATTTTGAATCACTGTGGTTAACCATGGGACTGGAAACAACTGGGGATGGATGGGCAGAGAAAAATACCCGATTCATATATGGTGCAGCTGATGTTCTCTGAACTTGAAAAGCATTTGTTTTGCTGGCAAGACTGGTCTCCCCTCTTGCTCATTCAGACTTGAGGACAATTGTTGGGGCAGCTGAGCAGAAAGAGAACTGGGGAGTGCAGGCAACTAGGAATGCGAAGGGAGCAGCAGAGTTGTAATGATTGATTAGGTCATCCGTGCTGCTGAAAAAGTGCTTATCAAAATATAGGCCAAGTACATCAGATGTTACAAAAAATGTGGCATCAGATGGGAAAATATTGAAGCAAATAATTCTGTAAGCGAAGGTCATAAAGCCTATGGTTAGATTCTTTGATGGCTAATAGGGCACACACTGTTTTCACTTGGCAGAGACATACATTATATTTTTCCAGTATTAATTCTCCTCATGAAGGCTGCAGCCTGTGTATAGCCCATACCTTTTTATAGTGATACTGATATATGAGGTCACTTATGTCAGCCAAGAAAAGATAGTAAATTTTTGTGAGTTTCCCAGGCTGCTTGGACAAGTCAGGCTTGAATTTGGCAACTAGGAAAGTTACTGGGAAGTGTCTTCGACCTACTCATGTGTGTAGACAGAGCCTGTGAAAACTTTAGTTCCATGGCAAAACTGACAACACATCTAATCTGCAACAGGTTTTATTTTTCAGTGTTTTAAAACTCACCTCATTTGGTGAGTTGTAGAAATAAACCATATCCAGATAGAAATGACTAATCTCCTGTATGTTTATTGAATAATTACAATAGTTTTGCTTTCTAGAGAATAACATTACACCTAAAGTAATTGAAAATGTTTCATGGTATTATTTCAATTTTATGTTTTGACCCTGTAGTAAAGGCAGCTATTGACTATATGGATTGTTGTATTATAGTGGTTTGGAAGCTGTGATTAATATTCTACTGACTGACCAGTAATGCTCACAGCCTGATGTGGGAAGGGATTGTTCTTATGGACTCATTTTGACCATTGATTATTTGATGATGAATATCTGGCTGTATAATGATGGATCCTTAAACCATTTGACCGTAGGGTGGTGCATTTGTTGAAATATTCAGTGCTCAAGGCAAGAACCCAGGAGCAAAATGGAAGATTCTTGGCAATCCAGCAGCGATCCGGAAAGTAAGTTTTTAAAGAAACTTTTGAAACCTAGAGTGTAAAATGGAAAAATGTGAATGAAACTTAAAATTGGAAGGTAATGAGGGCTTTGACCTGACAGTAGAGTTGTCACTTTTAGTTCTGTCATTATGACAGACTAAATGACTATTTAAATTAGTTCTGTATGCCTGCTTGCAGATTAGGTTGGGACCATAATTTTATAGTTTAAATATTTAGAAAGTAATTTTGGTGTTCTGATTAAGTAATGAATTGAGTTGGGCCCATTGAATCATGAGTCCTGTTTGTCACCATTATTTGTTCATTAAACATACAAATAAAGGACGTATTTCTATGGATTATATTATTATCAACATATTTGGATTACTGTCATACTTGCAGTGCCATCTTCCATTTGTGGATTTTTAAATAAAAAGTAGCTTTGCAGGTTACCAGGATTGTTGGTTGTGAAGAGAATTCTATCATGATGCTTATGTTTGTTTACTGTCCCTTTTTGTAGGAATATGATAAAGAAGTGAAAGGCTTTGCTTTTGTACTTGAAGGAAGCAGTCAAATCAACAAAATGCAGCTACCAAAAGAAACTCGACAAACTTGTAAGTATAAAAGAATTTAATGTCTGTTATGTTGTTCTGATTATTAAATCAGTCTTATATTGGAATGTAAAACTTCTATAATTCTCCTGTGCTTTGGGTGTAATTCAGCATTAGCAAAGTAATTTGTCATTATATATTTTGCACGTCAGTTACAAATAAGAAAAAGGTGCAGAAATGCTAAAATGAAGTAAGAGAAGACCCATGGCACTGCAGGCTATTTTACCTTGTAGTCATGACTCAAGCTGCTTTAGGATGATCTACTTCCTTTGGAAGGAAAATGGAGGTGATGATTTTAGTCAAATGAAACAGGAATCTTCTAGCATGCTTCTCATGCAGGGTAAATAATTACAAATTAGTTTTTCCAAACATACACCAAAAAAATAAATAAGAAGCTGTGTAGTTTGGTCATGCACTAAGGCCTTGAAGATTAATTTTATTTTTATAAGGGTAGTTTACAATTATCTTCAGTATAATAAATATTAGTCTAATTTATCTTTCTGAGAAATGCAACTTGTTTTATTGTCAATGTTACAGTAAACTATTACAGCCTAAAACGAGGATTGAGAATTATTGTTGTGGATCATCACTGCTAAGAATAGTTAGGTTTTGAATTTACTTTAGCTAGTGCTGCAGTATTACAGTCAAATTTCCATCTGTTACCATTCTGTGTCTCTGTTTCTTCACCTCTTGAGGTCTATGTATCTCAAGTATTTAATTTGTGTCAAGTATATGACCTCCCAGTTGTACTATATTCTTTAAATACTCTTTCAAAGTAAGGCATTATGTATCCAAATATAGTTTGAAATTTTGAAGTGTCGTTTGATCCACAAAAGAAGGAAGTTCTGAACTGGTGTTCTTTAAAAGAGTGGATAATGTTGCTGTTGAGTGTTGTTAAGTCAAGGAAGAGCTGCCTCTACTTTCCTTGATGGAATAACTAAGAAAACAACATACCATTCAATTCAGGCACCTTTGTACTATCTCTTTTCCCTTGATAGGGAGCTACCTGAATCCTGAAAGATTTATTGTGTTTGTTTCCTCAGTGAAGTGTCTGGTATTCTGAAGATCAGAAGCCTTCACAGAGCATTGTTGTTGTGATCTGGGTTGCATTTTTACCCAAGAGTTTCTTTGAAGATGTTTAGTAAGGTGTACATTATCACAGAAATGAGAGCAAGTTTTGTATGGCTATAAAATAATCTCCATAGGAAATTATTGATTTAATTCCTATGGAATATTTGGTGTCTATGTGCTCAGTGTAGAATTGTAAGAAAAAAAGAAGGCTCCTTTTATTTTACTAAGAATTCCAGTCAAGCCACAGATGGAACTTTTAAAACAGCACTTTTATTGCAATTTCAATTGGATTTCTTCAGGTTTTTCTTGTGTTTGTATGTTGTGTGAACCTTGGGAAAATGTGTTGCAGGAGCACAGCTGCATGGTGCAAAACTGAAATACTTGATAGTGAAATGTGGATCTACATGTGCATAGCACATCTTCTTAATTATTTTTTCCCTGTTTCTAGTGGGACTGATCCAGCAATTTCTGACACTTCAGATTTTTGTGCCAGTGGGACAAGACTTCTCTACTGAGTTACTGTAAGATGCATCAAATTTCCTTGACTTCTTACTGTAAAGTGAATGCCTGATTGCAGCCATTAATTGTGGTGGCAGATTTTGCATTAAAGCCTGGTGACTTATCAAGTCAATAAGAAGTAATTAAGCTAATGAGATCATTATTTCTTGAATGTTTTAAATAGTGACATTTCTTTGAAGACAGAACAAGCTTTATTAAAAATCATGAGTGAAGATGGTAAAAAATCCTAAGAAATAGGATGTGAATTTATCAAACACATGAAAATACTAGATCATGAGGGTCTCCTGAAAATTCGTGAGACGTTTATAAATAATTATTCCAGAGCCCTTTGTTGCAGGACAAAAAGAAAGATATATTCTATTAACTGGGGTAGAGAAAAAACCAAACTAAACAAATGGTAAAAAGCTAGAAAAATTCTTAATAATCAATAGATACTGTGTCCATGAATCTCCAAAATTCATTTCCAAAGAAAAAGTAATAAAATTGAGAGACCTCTTTTCATTAGTTCACTATGAAATTATTTAATACAGTACAAAACTTGGGCAGTTGTCAGTCTTTGGACACCATTTCCCCCCTAGTGGCACCAGCTGTTTATAATCAGCACAACTCACTCAGCTTTTTAGCCAGTAAACCAGCTAAGATTTGGATTAACAGGACTATTGTGCCATTAGAAACCCTGCAGGAAAAGATAGGTAGAATGATAGGCAATCAAACTGAGTAAAGTCAAGACATAATTTTGTTTTTGTTTGCCTTTCTGTGACTTTGCATTCATCTGTACCCAGAGGTCTCAGCTTTTCCTGATGGTGTGGAGTAAGGAGAAACAGCTCTCGTAAGTTTCAGTCAAAGAGAACACAATGAAATGCTGAGAAAATACCATTCCAAGCTATACTGTAGTAGAGAAACAGTCTTGATTGTAATGTGAATAATCTATTTCATGAAATTAGGATGGTCTGCTATTTCATGTTGTTGGGTAATTCTGTTATTTTCTGTGCTAGTGAGAATTGAGTCTCATTGATTAAAATTCCTCAGTGGATTTGTAACAATCCATGGAGTCTCAGTGGTTTGTGAGTTAAGGGGCATTTATAATCTACATCATGGTGGTAACATTACACGTTCCTGTGGGGCATGTGAAATTTCCAACATTTTACTATCTGAAGGTTGAGAAAATCTTCAGAAGATAAATGAACGGATTTAGCACAGAACTTCACCAGAAAAGATTTTTGCTGTTCCATGGAGCATTGAAATTTGAGAGAGAACACTGGGCTCACAGTGCTTGTTTAGAGACAGTTTTGACTCAATGCATCAAGGTCTTTACGGGGAGAAACTGTTGGCAGGAGAGCTGGTAATTATTGAATAGACCAGAAAAATGCATGTTTTCAAGCAACTTCCCTTTGTCTTCAGTTATTCTTTTTTTACTTTTATACATCTTCTGTTGCGTTTTCCTTTTGAGGTAGGTCTTTTAGTTTCTTACCTCTTTCTGAATAATGTCATGCTCAGATACAAGGGTGTATTTAACACAGCTCTAAAGCTATTCCTTTTGTTTGTTGTTTGTTTTATTTTTCCTGCAACACCAAAAGCTTCTGTGTGTCAAATCACACTGACTTTTATGTTCTTAGAAAATTTTGAGTGTAATTCTGGTTACACTCTCTGCTCTTATGGTTTAATGGTCTGATTTTCTCCCATCTTTCTTTGCCCTTTCTAGCTTGGGTCTAGGCTTGATGTGACTCCCACAATGAGCTGGTGCCTTTTGTATCACAGGGCTGAGCACTGGAGCCAGCACTCTGGCTGTGGTCTTACCTGGGCTGAGTAGAAAGGAAGGGTCAGTTCCCTGCACCTCCTGGCAATGCTCTTCCTAGGACAGCCCAGGATGCTCTTGGCCTTCTTTGCTGCAAAGGTGCTTTGCTGGCTCGTGGGCAACTTGTTGTCCATTAGTACCCTTAGGCAATTTGGTACAAAGGTGCTTTCCAGCCAGTCAGACTGTACTGGCATATGGGATTATTCCTCACCACGTACATGATTTAGTCTGTAATTTAAAGTTCTTACTTTGCATTTTAAATAATTTTGTTTTGTTTTGTTTTCTTGTTGAAATTAATCAGAATTAAGGCAGATACTTGCTTTGTGTATACAAATATTTTTCACCAGGGAGATCAGAAGTCTTGAGAATAATCAAACAGGTGATAAGTATTAGCTTTGGAAAATCTGGCATTTTCCTAAGTCTTTTTGGAATGATATGACAGAATTAGCATGGCCTGAAACCACAGTTGTAGCTTATTTTTTCACTCTGTGATGAGTGATGTTTTTGATCATACGTTGAAGCTTAGTCTGTTTATAACACAAAGAGATACCCTCATTGAATAAATGGGAACTCTGTGGAGATTCAAACTCTGGAACATCCCTGATAAGGTTTAAGAGGTTTTCTGTCAAAGTTTAGCTAGTTATGTATAGAGGAATCTGCAGGAAAAAAGAGCTTAAAATGTCCACATTCCTGAAGCAATTGTACTTGTTGATAAAAAATTTTACTGCAAGGCTTGAAAACAGCACAGTAGAATATAAATTGTTGTACCATGTTCCTTTTTTTGTACAGTTGCTTCTGTAAATATATGTTCATTACTTTCAAATTTTTAATTACCAGAGCATGCTACATTTTACATGCATAGCTAATTTATTCATAGACATCATAATGGCTTAAATTTGTGAATTACATGCTAACATAATTAGTCAGAATTTTAACTTCGCTGACAGGGAGAAATGATTCATGTTATGCTAAAGACCCAACATGTTTTCACATAAAGAGCAATAAAAATGTCAATCTTGGTAGGTCTTGCAAAACTTAGACCAACCTTCTAAAGCTCCAGGCAGGACACAGTTGCTAATTAGCAGGGGATTGTATCTGGATTTTGACCAGGATTCGCAGAGGTTGCAGTGAATAATAAATTGTATGGGAGTTGCTCTGTGCTTGGCAAGATCAATGAATACCTGCTTTCGTGTCTGGTAAATTTCCAGTTTCAGTCATTTACAAGGAGAAAAACACTTTCATTATAAGAACAAGTGAGACTGATAAATGAAGTGTTTCTTCAACAGGCCAGCATCATTTTTTCTAAGTTCATCTTAAGTCTTGTAACAAATGGTTATAAATTATTATACATAGAGCAGCAAAAGGAATGGGTAATCTGAGAAGATTAGTTTATCTGTACTCCCAGGTAGTTGCTACCATTTACTTGCAATCTCACTATAGTTACCATTGTGAGGAGAATAGTCAATCAAAGTTGAAGATATAAAATAGAATTGAAAATTGGATTGGAAGGTAATTTTACTTTCAAATGGTTTGCAAATGTAGATGTTAAGTGTGAAATTAATACAGTTAATGACCAGAGCTGGGAGAGTTATGCACCTGCTGATCACAGGAATATTATTATAAATGAGCTTGGTTTTCCTGTTGACTGCCTCATTTTTCTTGACATGGTCTCATTTCTTTTCTATCACATGTCTGACCCTTAGATATAAATACTCAAGCACAGACATAATAAAAATACATTAACTCCCATATAGATTTTTTTTTAATGCATCTTTGAAAATCAAGATGTGTGCCATAGATGTTCCTTGCCTTTGTAGGTTTAACATAGGTCCTGGGTTTTGATAACAGAAAAAAAATTGAGCTTCAACACGAGTTCTCTTGAGTCATTTTTCAAGTGAGAGTTCCTGTTCTCTGAATGATTTTAGATAAGTTTCATCAGACCCACTCTCAAACTATTATCTTCCTTCTCCCAGGGAATAATTCTGCAGAATTTTAATACCATCCTCTTTCTCCAATTTTGCCTGTTCTTCAAATGTTTCACCTACTTTTGCCTGTAGAATATGTTTAATGTTTTAAGTTTATTTACTGAAACAAATTTCAAAGTTCTCTAGGTGTGATTACAGCAATATATCTGAGGTTTTCTGCTTCTTTATAGCATGCATGCCATCACAAAACCCATCTTATTTTAGACTTACAAGGCAGAGTCTGATAGAAATGTGTGTATTTTTATCTAAATGAATGTGGTTTGTATTGCACTTCAGAAGGTAATGGAGCTGTATATTTACTAATGGCCTTTTTACTGCTAAGGTACCTAATATTTTTCAGGAGGGAGTAAGATAAAACTTGAGATTTTATTGCTAGTTGGTTGGAGATATGAATGACTTAAGACTAGGCTCCTGCTGTTTTGTTGTAGCATCATTTAAAGCAACGTTCTCCCTTGAAACTTGCACAGTTTAGTTTC